CTAGTAGATCCTCATATGTCGTAGCACTGAAAAGAAGAGAGGACCTAGGTTGCCTTCTTTAGGATTTCACATGCAAAACCAACAGGATACAGTCGACCTGTGTCATATGTGCATATCATCAAGAAAGGCCATCCACATAAATCCTCATAATCCAATGCACCCAAAATAAGTGAGAATCTCAGCTGCCTTCATTAGGAATACACATGTAGCACTATATAAGAACAACGAGTCAGCCATCCAAAAGAACTCACAATGCCATAATTTTCACCATTCATCACTAACATTAGACACCCACAAAAAAATACTAACAAATACAAAAATTTTTTAGAAACGTCATTCTAATATATTCAAAATTTTAAAATAAAAAAAACAAAATACTAATGAAAATCATAAAGTATTAGAACAAAATGCATACATAAATAAACATATAGTCTAATAAATAAAAAATGACTTAGTAGATCAGCAGCCATAGATAGCATCTGCGACACCTCAAAGCAGTCATCTCAGCCACACCTACACTGACTTGAATTTTAAATTCATTTACGTTTATCCCATCCTCAGGTAATGAAGACCCAACTAAAATTCTGAAGGTTTTTCTGAGACATTCAACTCATCATTGTAGGCCATACTAAAGTCTGTATCTAACTAAGAGGGATGTCGTCTGATGAAATTATGAAGTGTCATTATGACTACCACAATATGCACCTACTTTGAAATGGATACGATGACATATCACATAGGATGACCCATTTCCTCTTCCAAACACCAAATGTTATTTCAATTACCCCGCACAAGAAGGAGTGACATTTGTTAAACATTTTTTTTCTACCAAATGTTATTTCAATTATCCCGCGCAAGAAGGAGTGACATTTGTTAAACATTTTTTTTCTGTCATGGATGGAGTCACTCTCAAAATTAAAAAAATGGTATTTGGTGTCCGGATAGGGCTTCAGGTAGCCCCTCTGCATAGGATATCCAACATCAACCAAATAATATTTTTCTGTTATGAAAGACACTATTAATGACAAATACAACATATAACTAGTAGGTGTACATATCACAACAAACCTACAGGCGGGTGAGAAAAGCACTGTGAAAGCACTGGTTTCTATTTCTGGTTGCATGGTAGAAAAGATGACTGTCATATGCACTTTCTTCCCAGCCCGTCATTACAAATGTGAAACACATGTTGAAGTCAAAAAGCACTGTGTTCTATTTCTGGTTGCATGGTAGAAAAGACGACTGTCATATGCACTTTCTTCCCAGCCCGCCATTACAAATGTGAAACACATGTTGAAGTCACATACTGTTATGATATTTTGCATATCTGAACCACTTCGACCAATGTATGCGGCATTTTCAAGGCTGGGTAATCTGACATCAATATGAGTACCGTCGATTGCACATATGCAGTTCTGTTTTTCATCGTTAGAAACTCATTATATTATGAAATTAATGCAACGAAATAAAATTTACCTTGAAATAAGGCATGTAACAGGGATCATTGGCAATTTGTTCTAGAGTATTAGCAAATGATGGATCCTCTGGCTTAATGATTTGTGCTGCCAAGCTAACAACTGCCTATACACCTTTCGAGAAGTACCGGCTAATTGTTTCTGAGGAATGCTGAAATCACTCCATAGCTCTTTTAACTGATTGGTTCTGTGATTGAATGTATAATGTATAATGTTATAGCTAATTGTTTCTCAAAGAACCTTGAAGGTTGTATTAAAGACATAACTCGTGAAGGAGATCCATTAAAATGGGTGCAGTAATTCAAAAAATATTGTTGAAATTTATTGGATGTTCACAAAGCATCTCACCCACCTATTTATCCCCTACAAAGCTGGATGTCATGCAAGGTATTTGAATAGTGTTGGATCAGTAATACTCCGAAAATAATATCGTAATAGCTGCAACTCATGCCATTCTTTTACGACGTTTTTGCAATTGATCCATCTTAAAGTACATCGATATTAGGTTAAAAGAAACAGTTAAGAAGTAGCAGAAGGCAAGATACCTAATATAAATATCAAGGGCTACAAATTATAGAACCAATTACAATAAATGTTCCGAAGAATACAAACAAGTGTCAAAAAGTAAGAAAAAACCCTGCTAACATCAATAAAAACAACAGACTCATTATCCACCAAAACACATAAATATTCAACGCAATTCGGGACGTAGCACCATGAATATTTGTATACGGGTAGAATTCTCAAGTCTTTTCAACCATTTTGCATGAAATCACAAATTTGCAACTACTTCTAGAAGAGCATGAGAAGCTCCAATACAATCTAAGATGGTGTTGTCAGGTGGCGAAGCTGCAAAAGCATCAATCGGTCTATCGAATGAGCTCTTTACAAAAATGTCCTTATCTTTCTTCCTCTTAGCAAGCCTGGGCCTCTTTGACAAGGAACTGGACTCCCCCAGCTCCTTATGATTAATACTACACCCTTCTTCATCAGGTTTCACTTGCTAAGGTGACAAGTCATCTGGTATGCATGTAAAGCCCAACTCTCTAGGATTGAATGCATGCATTATCGTTGCGACAACCCCCTTAAATATTATGTCCAGTTTCTCTTCAAAGGCCGACTCAATTTCGTACTGCTTATATTTTTTTGCTGTCGACATTGCCTGTAACATTGTATGGAGGAGGGGGGGTTAGATCAATTAATACAAACCAAATAATTATGAGAATAAAAATATTAAAGGTGTAAATATTACCTCTAATTTTTTAATCCACCATTCATCTGGAGCATCGATTGTCCATTTAATGGGTTCCCAATTCAATTTGGTATGTCCATGTTTTAGCTCCTTCCAAATTTTCCACACTTTCTTCAGTTGATTCCATTTATTTTTGAATTTTAGCCTGTCATGATCCCTTCCCATCAATTCTTTGAATCTCCTCGCAATATTTTGCCAACCTTCCTTGTTAAAATATGTGGTTGGCATATTTCCAAGTTCTATTTCTTCAATACAGCGATTGTAAAAGATATTTGTGACATGTTTATCCCACATAGCTGACGGACCCCATTCATTTGTCTTAGACATGTTGGAACTATATGAAAAATTTATAGTTACACAGAGCAACTTAAAGTAAAAGTCCAAGGTACAATTCTAAGTAAAAAGAGAAAAAAAAGAAAACTTATTTAATAAAAAATTTCAAAAAAAAAAACTCTCGGTAAACCAAATAAACGCAAAGAAAACTTATTTAATAAAAAATTTCAAAAAAAAAACTCTCGGTAAACCAAATAAACGCAAAAGTAGTTGAACCCATATAACAATATAGGTTACATTCCTCAATTTATTGGTAAGGCAATATGACAATTTTCATGGCTGCTTTGAATATCACTTGCATAATCCTCATTCCAGAAATCAGGTATGAAATTGCATATCAATTTGTCACCTGATTTGAATATCACTTACATAATCCTCATAAACACTATTACAAAGAACAAATAGCATCACTATCCATTCAATCCAGGCATTGGGTATGAAATTGCTTATCAATTTTTCACCTGGTTTGAACATCGCTTGCATAAACCTCATAAACACCATTACAAAGATCAAATAGCATTACTATCCATTCATTCCAGGCATAAGGTATTATAAAATTTAGTGATGCTTATGATATTGCAATGGGTATTAGGGCTATGCTAAATAAGAAGAAATTATGGAAAGCTATGGACTTCAGATGCTTCAAGTAAAGATGAAATTGATGTTGTAGTTAATCGAGAAGGCATCAACTTTACCAAAAAGAAGTTAATCATTAGCATATATAATATGCTTCAATGTGCAATTCCCATCAAAATTATCCAGCATAAGGGAGAAAGCATCCATTACAGTGAGAAAATAGTAAGGTAAGAATGGGCAGCCTTGCTAAGACTGTCTTGAATGGGAAATATTCTCTAATCTCACAATTTATGAGAACATAAAAATTCGGCTTTGAAGTGAAATCTTTGATCCAACTAACCGAAGGGTGGAGGAAACCCAAATTTCAAGTTTAACATAAAGAAAAAAATGGATATCTATAACAAGCATTTCTGAAATCAATTTTGAAAATGGATGTCTATAACAAGCATTTCTGAAATCAATTTTGGAGCAAATACTATTCTTGGAGCTCTTAGAATTGAACAAAACTGAACCTTAAAATCTCCACCAATTAAAGTTTCCTAAAGAAGAGAAACACTCAAAACATTTTAAGGAGTCATCACAACCAACCCGTAAAACAAACATGACTTTTAAATCCATCAAGAAGGTCATAATAACTACAAAAATAAAATGGCCATGAGAAGCAGTAGACCCATGATACAAGGGTCTTGGTTGCCAAAATTGCTTAAGACCAAATGAATGTGTTGAATAGAAGACGGTTCCATTTCAACATACATCTCCACAAATCAACGGCATCATATACAATTGAAAACAAGTAATTCCATTCTTAATGAAATGACACATTGGAGTAAGCTTAGCAATACATAATGCAAAACTAGAATATTTTCAGCATTTATGACCAATTTTCCATTCATCTTATTTGCCTAAAGATTCCGATAAAAAAAAAAAAAAATTTTGCATAACCAAAAGGAGCCATGCATTTCTGACCAATTGTTCATAACACCAAGTAAATGCCTTACATTAGTAATGAACGGTGCATTTTTCATGAAAGGTATTCTGTTCAAGCCTTTAGGAGTCTCAAAAATATCATTAAAAGCACTATCACGATTGATTTGAACAAACACAACAAGTCATTTTAGCCACAGACATTCCACCATGAACTCGGCATGTGAATGCACAAGAAACAAGGGATAACTTCATAACCCAAATACCACACAATTTCTATGTACTAACCTACATTCATATGCATTGGAATAAACTCCATTGCATATCAACAACAATAAATCCAAGACACTTTCTATGTTTCCCATCTTAGAAAGCAAGTGCAACACTACCCAATGCATTTCAAGATAACCCAACAAAATCATGCAAGAAAACCCTAAGTTTAACGTTAACCAAAATTTGCCAAAATTGTTGATAGAAAAAGCAGATTATACATGATAAATCGAACCAAAATAGTCGCATAGCAGAGTAAAACATCAGATCTCACCGGAGTAAACAGAGCTTACAAGCAAGTCGATCGTCGCGAGGGTGAAGATCGGGGAGAGGGCCAGGGAGAGCAAAGAAGGGCAAGGGAGGAAATTTTTCCTAAAGCGGGTCGGGGACGCAGTAAGCTGGGTAGGGGCCCGGCGTAAACCTATTAACAAATAGCAATGCGCCTATCGGAGCTGAACCAAACTGCCGAGCGAACGGGGATTCCTTCAAAAAGCGAGTTGTTTAGTTAAGATAGAACCATTCGAGTTATATAAAATATTTGAAGTTGATGATGCAAAAGAATTCTTCATCCAACCGTTTGCTGCAAATTTGTAGCCGTTACAAGCTCAATTTGAATCATCTACAGCTCGTTCAAATTGAACTCACTGTCTACTAATTAGCCTCATTTCCGTTTACTAAAGATGGGCAAGAAGGGGAAAGAGAGGGCTAAGGAGAGGCGAGAAAAACGATTGCAGGAAATATCTGAGCTCCGAAAAAAACCAATCTTAACCGGCAACAGGTATGCGCACTGCTACGCTCACAACCCGTTCGGCAAAATGCTCCAACGAGCTGCTATTTCTTTGATTCCGTGCATTCATTCTCCTGCTATACTGATTTGTTCATCCTTGATAGATGGTGGTCTTCTGAGACGGTGGCTGTCGTGACAGGAGCCAATAGGGGGATTGGCTTTGAGATTGCTCGCCAGTTAGCAGCCTACGGTCTCCATGTAATTATGGCCTCAAGGGATGCAGAGCGTGGGCGCCAAGTAGCAGAGATGCTGCAGAATGAAGGCCTCAGTGTCAACTCTCACCAGCTCGACATCTCAAATCAAGCATCTGTTGAATCCTTTTCGAAGTGGGTTGTTCTCAATTATGGTGCAATTGACATCCTGGTTAGTAAAGCTTTACCTGTCATCATTTTGCTCTCCAAAAAAGGGGGAAATTTAATTATTTACATATATAATAGTCAAAGTTTGATATGTATGTGTCATAAACTCATGTGTGAAAAAGTGTATCACTTTTAAAATAATTGTGATGGAGGTATTTTTGATGTGATGTTAAAGATTTGAATGTTATGGATGTAAATATGAATGTTTAGGTATTAGATATGTAAATACATAGGAATTTTGTGTTATGTTTGTTCATGCGCCCAAAAAAATAATTTTTGTTATTGCAATGAGCCTACTGTTCTGTCCTTTTCTAGCTTGTATGCTTGATAATAATCAATCACTACAAAGACAGTTTCTGTTGATCATCGATTAATTTTTTATCTGTTTATAGTTATGCATGCCGCACAAAGTATCTTAGATATACATACAGGTTCATAAGACAGGTCAAGGAATTCTGTATTTTAGATATAGAGTTGGCAATCATAATGAAATAATTTAGAGGGTCTACTAAGATGGCATCTCCATTTACAGAAGCATGTACAGGATGTAGAGGAAGAGTAACGTATCCTGTCTGTAAATGCCATTGTAAATATCAGGAAGTTGGTTTAAAGACGTATGGATTTGACATAAACCTTGTATTGGATTGGGTGAAGATGGTTAAAGCCTAAATTGTATGGTGTTGTTGTGCTGAAGATGACAATGATGTCATCTTTTGGTATTTATAAATATAATGGGCCTATGATTTCCTTCTCTAGTTAGCTAGGTTGTTACAACTTACACATACACAACAGATTTCTTTTTTTAACCACAATTGCAAATTATCTGAGAGAATTTCACAAACTGTGAGCTAAAGAGGGCCAAACTGTAGCTTTTAGTTGCTGATTATTGTCAGATACTGCAAAAAGTGCTTCTATTGCCTAGAATTGTGCCTGTTGTCTTCTTCGTTCTTGTTCTTCATTCTTAACAAATACTTTTACCTTGCTGTTGGATTTGTGGGTCTTCTAGTTTAAAGGTTGCTTGATAATATAAGTACAAGATAATTTTAAAATGTATTGTATGTCAGTATCATTTTTTCAATGTATTGATAAAAAGAATTCTTTTTGTTATAAAGCCCCACCAATTGCAGATCAAGGTGAGCCAATAGGTGCCAACCAAGCTATCAGATTTAATGGCATCATTCAGACAATTATCACCTAAATATTGCATTAAAATTAAGTTTTGCACTAGTACTATTCAGCAAGCGTTCACTATGCTTGATATTTACTCAAAATCATGAGAAAAATAAAGAAGAATGTGCGGTATCTGGTAACTGAAAAAACTAGAAACAGAGGGGAGTACAGCACTTGATTGCTTAGGAAAGTAAGAATAAAAGTACAAAAGCGTCACTTAAAAATCTTGTTAAAGTTTTACACCCTAATAAGCACTCACATAGAGTTTTTAAAATGTAATGCGTCACTCAAATTATTCCAAATAATTTTAGATGTGTTATCATTTAAAGCAATTTTAGAGGCCTAGTCTAAAAACAAAAGCTTTTATATGGCTGTTCATAAATATTTGACATTGTATCAGCGTTAAAAGATCTACTTGCTGGCAATGCTAACATCATGTTTGATCACATTGAACACTTTTATTTTCTGATATGGATGTATGGGGTTTGGCTTATCGGGAGGTGGAATGTTTTATACACCAATTCCATATTCCAAGCAGTAGTAGGGGCTCTTTAACTTTACATGAATAGCAGTAGATAGTCTTGCAGGCTACATAAGATAGTTCATGGAAAGCCCGTAATGCTCTACTTGAAGTTTTACACTCATGGAGAGTCTGGTTGATCACCTGCGAAAATTGTAATAGGATATACAATATTCTCTTTGATGTCCTATAATAGTATACCGTGATGCTAATTGTATGGGAAATTTTTAGCAAAAAATTCTATTATATCATGTGCATTATCAAGTACTTTAAAAGGTTCACTGGAATATGCCTAACCCCTTTGTGTATTCATAATGTGCCATTAAGAAAGCAAACATAACATATGTTAGAGCTCAACTACAGGCATTTGCTTCCTTGATGCACCCTTTGTGTTTTATTATAGCGTACCTGTACTTGTATCTTCTTCATGAGTGCTCATTGAATATTTCTTACTTTTGAACAAGTTTATCTTTTTGGTTCTTTAAGGTTATTTCTGCTTTTGGGTGGATGCAAAACTAGTTCTAAATTTGGGAACCCAGTTCACAAAACTTTTATACTTTCTGACTTTGTTACAATTACGTATTCAGTTGATAGAGGTTCTCATCAGTTTAACACCTCATGCTTAGTTGACTTATTGATAATGGATCTGGCTCAACTATTGGAGTAATATACCAGATACATAACTATTATTTATTTTGCTTCGTAGATTTGATGAAGGATAAACCCAACCTAACATGAGAACTAATGAATTGGGTGTAAGGATATATTCCATCTGTTTGTGCTTCATGCTTAATAGAGCTTAATAGAAATGTTGCTCATCAATGACATGGTCCTCAGTGATCATTAAGTTGATGTAAATTTTATCATTTTATGCTTGTTTGGTGGAGATCTTAATGATGGAACATTACTTCAATCGTTGCTCAAGGCAAGAAAAACTTGTTAAAGATGGAGCATTCCTTCAGTTCTGCTTCATAGATTGTGGATTTACTACTAAACGACCAATGAAGCCAAACTGGTCGGATAAATAATTATTAATAGGACACAACTATGCTTAAAAGCTTCCTATTTCATGGAATTCCTTGGTTCTATTTGAGCTCGTTGAGCTATTGAAAAGTCTCACCTCATCAAAATAAGTAAGGTTAAAAGCTTAGTTTTGGCACTAAATATGTACAAGGAGGTGTTGCCTTGTCTCTATTGTTCTTCTATCATGCTGAACATCCAATTGTGGCTGCAACTTGCTCATATTTGGGATATGACTAAACTTGTTCGGCTATTAGGCATTTCATTAGGGAAATCTTTTACTGTTTTTACTTATATTATTTAAACTATGAAACCTAGTAGTCTCTTAGTTTTCTTACTGATGTAGTGAGCTGGAGAAATTAACTCTAAACTTATTTTACTTCGTGTCTGATCCTTAGATGAATTAATACTTATTACTTGAGTAGAATGCCTCTTTCATGATAAAAATGTTCAAGGTTATTTTTAGTTGTTGCTGTTGTTTTTATTTATTTGTTTATTTGTTTATTTTTTGCATGTTACCAAATACAACTAGTTTTTTAACTCTTGGGAATGATTTCATCAACCTTGTATTATTGGATGATTTCAATTGGAAAGTGATATCTTTTTAAGAGAACAAATCTATGTCAATTTTTTAGGCCTGATTGCACATCTTTTGTTTGTTGGCCTCTTCCGTATTTATTTTATCCTTTGGAATTGCAAGAAGCTATGACTCATAATATATTGATTTTATTGATGGTTTATGACCTAGGATTAATATTTACAAGAAAATTAACATTAGTTAGGGGCTTAAATTTAATTAGGCTAACTATTAACCTACAAGGTTTTGACAGTATTGAATTATTTTTATGATAAAAAACATAATTTGTTTTACTTAAATTTATTCATATATTTTTTTGTAGTTTTGGTTGCTAATATTACTTGTATATATCGGAAGGGCAATATTTTTGATGTTAGATATACTCAATAAAGAGCATACAAGAGACTGAGAAAGTGTGTTGCTCCAAATTGAAATGCTAGCCATCTACACAAATTTTGTTGAACTATGATAAATTTATGTAGGCATTATGTTGAATTGGAGTGAGAGCCGTGAGAGCATTATGTTGAACTATGATAAATTTGTCAGCATCCCTTTACTCTTTATTTTAGTTGTTCTTGACATTGTCATATGTTGAAGAATTTTATGATCTCATTATTGTTTGTGTTAGATGTTAGCTAGATAATGTTTATAATCACTCTTAATTATTAAAACATATTGTCTTATAATTGATTGTGAAAAAATAAATAAAATCAACATATAATTTCAATGCTGCAATTACTCTTAATTATTAAAATATATCGAGTGATAACTAATTTTAGAAATTATGCCGCACAACAATAAATTAGTTTGTGAAAATTTACCCTTCAATTCAATTGTCCTTCAGATTTTGTTATATGATTCTCTTGTGACATTGTTATTGTTTGTGTTACAAGAAGATTATATAGTGATTTTAAGTACTCTTAATTATTATAGTATAATGTGTGATAATTAATTGTGAAAAACCAATAAAATCATTAATTGTTTGTGACTAAATTATAGATTACTTTTGTATTATTAATTTCTCCATTGAAGGAAAAAAAATATAAATTATTCCCTCCCCTCACATACACATGTTGTCCTCCATATAGTTTTCATAACTTGACAATTGCGCTGAAAAAAATCTACATAGGGTTATCCAATGGAGGTCATGAGCAATGAATATAATGACACAAACATCAAGTCTAAACTACTTTCATCTTTGTCAAACCTGCCCGATCAACACGTCGAAGCATCGAGCATACTTTGTGTGTCCTTTATATGAAAGGAAAATATAATTATATGTGAGAGGAAGGTGAAAACTTTGAGAGAAACGATGTCCATTCGTGAATACAATCATTTGAGCTCTACTGTTCACGCGCCGACATTCTCACTCAAAGCTACCCTCATTGTCCTTGATTCTTGCTCCCAATGGCGGTCACTTCAGCAACAAGCCGCAAATTCCAATACCAGCAACTCACTTCTACTGCTAACTTTTTTGAAAAGATGAGGCCATAATACAAAAAATTTTATTCCCATGTATAGGTAAAAAAAGTACTGTAATAGAGAAAATAATAGACTAACTATAAATTAAGACAAAACATAAGAAATATCAAAACAAAAAATAAAGCTAAAAAAGATATATGCTCGAAGACGAATGAGGGCTCACATTAAAAATACAGTGTCTATGATAAGAATCTAACTTGGTTCATCAAGAAATCATCTTGAACGAACAACGCAA